AGAGAGAGAGAGAGAGAGAGAGAAAGGGAGGGGGGAAAGGAAAGAATAGACTGTGCGTGAATTACATGATAACATGCTAATCAACTGAAGAAAAAAAAGAAACGACAACGGCGAGAAAGTCAGCGGTAAAAGTCAAGTCGGAGGCCCCGTTCTCAAAATCCTCTTTGTTTTCATGACGTCACACGATCCGAATGTGGCTGTTGTAAGGAGTGTGGAGACCCCGGGTGTGAGTATTTAGGTCAAGTAAGTTTTCGAACTGGGGGCTCAAGTAAACTTTTACCGATTCAGTTAGGTGTTAATAAAAACGTTTTTGACCTAAACCAGGGTGAGTAAAACCGAACACATGGGGAAGGTGATTACTCTCTGTAGGAGAACAACGAGGATCCCTTCCTACTTGGCGTCAGGCTGCTGGAGCTGGAAGAAATCTTTCCTAGCGAACTGAGACCAGAAGTGACTTCATCAAAACTTCTGTCTCGTTTTGAGGCCGGGGTCGACATGAGGGGAGAGAGGAGTGGCCGACGGAAGGGGGGTAACTTGGCCATGTGTGATTCATTGACTGAAGAGGTCGGAGCGAATAGAGGTGTGCTGCTACTGCTGCTGCTGTTGTGGTTGCTGCTTTGACTGTTGGAGGTTGTGGTTCGAGCTCGAGAAGATGACTGAGCCGAGGGTAGGGAAGGATGGGTGAGGGCTCTTTGTGGAGTCGTTGCGTTGACTTTTGATCCCTGAACTGGACGACACCCAGACTTTCGTCCATCCGCTTCAACTGATAATGATGGTGGTGGCGATTCTTTTGTTGCTGTTGCTGTTGTTCCTGCTGCTACTGCTGCTGCTGATGATGATGATTTCTGCAGTTTCTTCTTTCTCTCAGCAGCAGGTGTGCTTGTGTATCTTCCATCTGCCCCACTCCTCGTTCGTCTTCTCCTCTGCCTAGCTCGAGATCTCTTCACCTTTCTTTTCCTCGCAACAGTGCCAGAGGGCGCGTCCTGGGGCGAGGTCATTGAAGAACACGGGCGGCTCTCCTCTGTGGGGGAATGAGGCTCCTCCAATAGAGGGGTAGCTCCGCCTCTTTTAGCTGACACAGCTAACTCCGAGAGAGACCTGAGAGTTGGTACCACCCGACTCCTCCACCCACCCCCTCTCTCCGACTTCGTGGACGGCGGAAGTATCTCTGTCGATGACGTTGTCCTACTGTCAACCGTTCTATTAACAGAAGTTCTATTTTTAGCCGTTCTGCGAGTTTCTATTCTATAATTAGATGTTCTTTCATTCACTTCACTATCTGTACTTGTTCTATTTTTAGCAAACCTGGACTCCATGAATGGCTGAAGATCGTTTCCCGGAACAAGTGAAGTGGGGGAAATGTCTGGTGCCACTGCCCCCTCCACCACCCGTCCTCCAAACGCCCCGAGAATGCTCCCAGCTTCTTCTACAGAGCCCGATGTACCTCTACCGCGTTTAACATTTTCTGATTCCAAGTGGTCTAGGTTCGAATCTTCACTGACCGAGTGATATGGCGTGGAGCCATCTTCGTTAACTGTGGAGAAAGTCGTAGAAAGGGAGGATGCTGCGTCACAGAATGATGATGCTGTTGTAGACTGTTCCTGAACGTTAGAGGATGCTGCAGGTTGTATGGTGTCATAGAATATTGTTGTGTTGGGTCCGTCAACACCAGCGGGCGCTGTGGGTGACATGACGTCACTAGGTACGTTAATCACCGTGACGTCAGACTCTGCTTCCGAGTGGGATTTTCGCAAATTGGGGGACGCAGACAAGTTTGTATTTAGAGTGTGTCCTTGAGATTTTGTACCCATACTCTGTCTCTGACAATCTGTGAACATTTCTGGCTCAGGGTCTAAGAAGGCCACATTGGCTTCAGTATTTGAACATTTGGAGTCTTGCTCCGGGGACATTTCGGTGTCTTCCTCTGGGAACAGAATCCGATTCCAGTCCAAGCTGCGAAGACTGGAATAGTCATCTGTTGCTACGTCCCATAGTCTTGTGTCCGGTATCCGTTTTTCCACGTGGTCGTCCTCTTCGTTCTTTTCCCTGTGGACTTGAGCTTGAGTTACCTCCCAGGCGTGACCCGTGGCGCCCTCTTCCGACTCAAAACTGTGGCCTTCGTGAATGTACTTGGGTGGCGAAGGTTCAAAAAACGCCTGACGCCGAATTTTCTGCTGCTGAGTGAGCGTCCATATCCGATTGCTCCTGGAGGTTTGCAGTTGAGGAAATTCATCGTCTGCTGCCTGGGGCAGCTCATGGAGGTCATGGTGGCCATAGGGGTAGGTAAAAGCATGTTGTCTTTGGAACACGTGACCATGTCTAGATACACCAGTTGTAAATGACGGTTCATTTCTCAACGACCGCTCAGAGGTAAGACTTGTGATAGGTTCCCACTCGAATCCCCCTTCAACACCAGCAAGTTCTGTCAGTCGTTCACCACCCGAGTCTTCCTCTATCGTGGAACTAAAACTGTCAACGTTTCGGCGCACTCTGCGTTGTTTGGTTGACACCGTGTTCTGTCTGATGATGTTTTTAAATAGCATGAGAGTTAAGACTGATTGTAAATGTGAAGAGTGCAGGCAAAACGAGTTACTTCTCGGATCCAACCCTTATGGAAATATGTACATCACGCTTTTTGGTGAAGTTTTTACAATTTATAAGTATGGAATAATAAAATGCACGTTATACAAAAACAATGTGGCACCAATAGAAATTTCTACTAATCTGACCCTATAGCGTCGACTTTTGGCCAATATTTCCATTTGTGGATTGCGATAAGTAACTCATTTTGTCAGCACGCTTCACAAATGTTACTCGTTCCCATCCACACAATTCTGTTCACTTAAGAGTCAGATTCAAGCTGATTTGGTCCTACATGAGAGGACCATCCATCTTATGTGACATATATGTATTTTGATGGTCTTACAATTCATGAGGATATTGGTGTCATGTATTTCATAATGGGGCAACCCCCC